GGCTACAGGACCCCCGGCTCCACCAGCAGTATCATCTCTAGTTCCTCCTATTCTATCTGATTATGATTTCAAGAGTGCAGTATATATGCTAGCATAATTAGTAGCCGCACATCACCAGCCAGTTGTGCCAGATGTTGCAGGACCTTCTGAAGGGCCCGAAAGTTCGAGAGTCCGTGAATTTCTTGCCTTGAATCCTCCACAATTTGCAGGGACATATCGCAGAGAGGACCCTCAGCACTTTGTTGATCAACTTCATAGAATCTTCAGAGTCATGCATGCCTCAGCTACTGAGTCAGTTGAGTTAGCAGCATTTCGATTGCGTAATGTTGCAGTATTTTGGTACGAAAGCTGGGAGAAATCTAGGGGAAATGATGCATCTCTACCCACTTGGGATAGCTTTGCAGAAGCTTTCATAGATCATTATTTACCTCGGGAGATTAGGGATGGCCGGGTGGACCAGTTTCTGAACCTCCGACAGGGCAGCATGAGTGTCCGAGAGTACGGGCTGAGATTTGATTCATTGGCTAGATATGCACCAGCATTTGTTGATACGATGAATGACAGGGTGCGTAGATTTGTGAGAGGGCTTGACTCAGACTATATCGACGCTTGTTCTACCGCTGCACTAAATGATAATATGGATATCTCATGAATTCAGGCCTTTGCACAAGGCATAGAGGATCACCGACATCTTCAGTATATGACTAACAGGGTCGATAGAGAGAGACAAAAGAGGGATAGGCCCGCTGGTTCATATGGAGATATTCAGGGTGGTCCCAGACCTCGATATTCTAGTAGGCCACCTAGACCTCCACCACAGCAGTTCCAGGGGAGTATATTTGATCGTCATGGACAGTCAGGCCCAGGTGAGGGTTCACGAGCATCAGGCTCTCAGGAGCAGAGAGGCTCAGGCCAGGCTAGGACAGCACCGCCGCGTTGCACAACTTGTGGTATGATGCATTCGGGAGGTGCAAATAGGGTTCCACAGGTTGTTATTCTTGTGGACAGGAGGGGAATGGGTGGAGAAACTGCCCTACCATAGGTCAGGGTGGTATAGGTCAGTCAACCAGGTCAGCAGTAGGTTCCTCTACATCAGCACAGTCTACAGGACGTGGACCCCAGACTTTAGCACGTAGGGATAGAGGCGGAGGCAGAGAGGGAGCATCTAGTTCTGGTAGTG